TTAAAAGTTTTACCACGAAGGGAGTTGTCCAGGGATCGAAATAAGTGGTGATCCGATGGCGCGAGATCGGGACTATATGGTGGGTGTAACAACAATTCCCAAACAATATCCATCAATTTTTGCCGAGCGGACAAAGACGTATGCGGCCTAGCATTGTCCTGCTGGAAAATGACACCTTTACGATCGACCAATTCTGGTCGCTTTTCCTTGACCGCTGCATTCAATTTGTCCAGTTGCTAACGTTCACGGATAATAAAAAATAACATAATAATAATAATAATAATTTTATAATACAACATTTACGGATACCATAAAAATGGGAGTGAGAGACATCTACAACTGAAATCGACAATTACTTAGTTGCCAACCCAATAGTTAACGTTTTTGTTTGAGACACTTGCAGACGGTTTTGTTGAAATATATAATTATTAAGCGTCGATCAGGACCATCCGGTAGTCCTGCATTCAGTTTCAGCTGCACGACTCTGCTAATAACGGGTACACCTGAAAATTGGAAGAACCAATAAAAATGCTGTTCGTTTGCCCGAACATTTAGAACAAGATTTAACGAGCGTTACTAATAATAGCTTGCGCGAATCGATTGCATGCTTAAGCAGCTCTATTTCAGGCAGTTCTTATCAAGATCCTGTTTATTTTCGTTCTATCGGATCAGCTACACTGGGCATCTAGCTTCTTATAACGTTTTATTGCACAGTTGATAATGGTTTGTCGTCTTCTGTGATAATGTTTAACGATGACTGGATGTTGAACAGTCGGATAACTGTGAATTGAAACTGCTTCCTCCATTGTGGACTGTACGATTTTCATTCTATGTTCATCGTGTGTGTAATTTCGGAGGTTGTAATTAATTACTTTGAAATTAGGAAATGGTTTGTAATACTCACATTAAATTTAAAAGCTGTCGGCAAGGAACGGTATTTGGCTCTCTATAATGTTATAAATATTTTCTATATATATATAGGATTTTCATAATCAAAGTGGGTTACCGTCATTCTTTAAAATTAAACTAAATTGTTCATTTTCTTTTTAATCAAGCATATTCAAAATAATATTAGCCATCTTTCTTTCACGTTTTCTTTCGATATCATGCGAGCCATAGTTACTGCTATAAGTAAATTCTGCAAAAGAAATATAGATTACATCTCTCTTCCTTGGTAAATTGCAAAAATTATGTAAAGATACAGGGTCAATAATATAACTTGCACATCCCAAATAACTTCTAAATGATACATTTAATTAAAAATTGTTAAATATAAAAGTTGTAGTGATGTCGCATTCACGTTTTTGAACATAATGCAATTCTCGAATTTTTAAGGTCGACATTCTCTTTTCTAAATAGAAAGAGAGGTAGATTCAAAGAATATTTCATTTTAAGTAGAAAAGTATAAACCTATGCTGATCCTAAGCCTAAACGAGATTTTAAGGTAAGCGTATGTAAGCCGCGTGGCATCGTCAGAGGAATCGTTAATATCTCGTTAACCGTTAAATTTAGGATCAACATAGATTTATATATTTCTATTCAGAATTTAACGTTCTGTCGATCTACGATGTTAAAAATATTCCTTTCTATTTAAAAGAACGACGTAGACCTTGAAATTTCGAGAACTACACTATGTACAATAAAAATGGCTACGACATCGCCTCCTTCCCTTAAAACTGTACAACTTTTATATTTAACACTTTTCGATTAGATGCATGATTTAAAAGTTGTATAATTCATCCTGTATACGTAAATGTTTATTGTATTGTATTGTACTGTATTGTATTATATTTTCTTCTTACGTCTGAACAAAAATCAGTCTGTGAAACTGTTTTATCTCGACATAGTATTACTGTAGATGCGAATAAACAATTTACATTTGTCTACAACAGTATATTGTGTTATAATGTAAATATCGAATATTTGGTCTGGCCATGAACAGAGTGAGATGAATACGCATGAAACTGAAGAAAAACAGAAGGTAACAGTTAAAACATAATGCATGCATTAAAAGGAGCATTCTTAAATGAGTAAGTGATGAAGTTGATTGAGAAGAAATAATCCTAAAGGACACTGAAAAGCCAAAAGAAACGAGAAGGAATAGCTAAAAAAGTATCTTATGTTGTAGTACAGTATAATATTATGTAACATATGTACGTGACACGATATAGTGTGATACATGAAGAAGTAGCATAAACTGAATTCACGATTTTTATAGGTTTCAAATAAAACAAAGGCTCTTGAAAACAATATTTTTATTCAATGAAAATATGCACAACAGCGTCGATGGCCTTCTCGCATAGAGATATACGAAGTGATATGTGTTCAATTTTTATAAAAATTAGTATCTCCTCTATTTGATAAATTCTTCGGGTGCTATATTTGTTACATTAACGAAGAATGAAAGAATTCAGAGAAGCGTTCATCACTTTCCGAGGCTCTACTATTATCCTTTGATTCATGTTAATCGCCTAGGTTTGAAACTGTTCAAAGAAAATTCACTTGTTAAAGCACCACTAGCATTTTCCTATTCAAAACAATGGAAATTTTCAGCAGCACGAGTAACCGGAAATTCCTGTGCGAATTGACCGACGAATGTTTTTTGCAACAAGGGACGAGCAAGCGCGCGAATATGTACAGGCTGTCTAAAAAGTGTCTTGAAAAAGTTTCTCGGAGAAGCTGTGAAAAGGAGCGATTTTTCCGAGGCGATTTGTAAGATTGCGGCAATGTTCATAAATTATTAATGAAAAATACAGGCCGATTAGAGCGCCAGCTCGACACGCAGCGGCTGCAAGGGCTGTAATTTTCGTTAACAATTTATTAACACGTTCCGTGCCACGTGTACCATCGATGGTACACGCTTGCATGTTTACTTAGTGAACTGAACAAATTGTTTACAAGAAATTTAGAACCGAAGAATCAATTTCCACCGCAAGAATGGGCGTTGACAAGTTTTTGTTACGTTGTTATGTGTACGAGAATTAATAATTGCACGTAATACATCAAGTTTTAGTAAAATATCAAAGTGTGAAGATTCGAGTAAAAAAAGCTCGGCACGGAACGTGTTAACAAAGCTACGGAGAAACTTACTTGTCAAGAGCTTATACATTTTTAGGCCACCCTGTACACGGAAATGTGGCCAGATTTATGATCACTTTTGATCCAATAAACATCGTGGCCTGCCATGCATTTCCACGAGAGAAATTCGCGGGACCATGTTTATTTACTTATTTGAGATGTGCAGCCGCGAGATTGGTGGATGACTAGTCCGTGTCCGTGAGTGGTTGAAAATACAACGTTGTCTGTGAGCTGTTGTTCTCCTTTGGCACCGCGCTCTGGTATTGTTAACGAAAGTCTCTCGAGTTATGGTTTAACCGTGTTCAACGTGTTACCTTTGTAAACTCCCTTGAAACCTTGTGTCATAAGTGACGTAATTCTACGCTTACGGACGAAAGTTAAGGAACGTGTTAGACAGACGCATAATTCTTGCTTGTAATAAATCTTTTTTAACGTAGGATAAAGATTTCGATCTTGTCAACGAAAATATTAATAATATTAATATGTCTGTTAGACAGATGCATAATTCTTGCTTGTAATAAATCTTTTTTAACGTAGGATATAATAATATTAATAATATAATAATAAATATTAATAATATTAATATGTCTGTTAGACAGACGCATATTCTTTCTTGTAGCAAATCTTTTTTAACGTAGGATAAAGATTTCGATCTTGTCAACGAAAATATTAATAATATTAATATGTCTGTTAGACAGACGCATATTCTTGCTTGTAATAAATCTTGTTTAATGTAGGATAAAGATTTCGATCTTGTCAACGACAATATTAAATTTTATTCTTCCATGATTTCTTTATTTTTTTTACTTTTATTTTTGTTACCTTTTTTTTATTTGTCATATG